TAAGTTTTTCCTGTGGCTCCCAAAGCAGACACAGTCAGCTCCCTGCCTAACTCTCTGGCCTCATCCCTCCCACTCTCCAGCTTCCCTGGTCTCCTCCTCCTTTCTCCAACGTGTCAGGTGTGCTTCTGCCTCAGGGCCTTTGCACCTGCTCTTCCCTCTGCCTGCCTGGACCCCTCTACCCCCAGAGATCCACATGGCTCACTCCCTCACCTCCTTCAGTTCTTCTGCTCAAATGTCACCTCCTCAGTGAGGCCTTCCCTGTCCGCTCTGTTTAAAACTGCAGCCCCTCCCTTGCCCCCTGCACCTGGACCCCTCATCCCCTTCCCTGACGTATTTTTCTCCATGGCATTTATCATCACCTGACACAATATATATTTTACTTCTTTTCCCTGTTTATTGTCTATCTGCCTAGAATGTGAGCTCACGAGGTCAGGAATTTGTGTCTGTTTTGTTCACTGTTATATAGTAAGTGCTCAAATTTTGTCAGGTGGATGAGTGAGAATCTATCTTCAGGGTCGATACTCATAACCCACTATACGTTGTGTGTGATGCACTGTGTTAACTGCTTTGTATTGGCTTCTGACTACATCTTTCCAACTCCCCTGCCCCTACTGGGGTCCAGGCAAAGAACCCCCTCTTCCCTGGAGTCTTCTGTTTCCATCCCAGCCCCTGTCTGGCCCCTTCCCCTCTATCACCCCTCTGGTGCCCATGTCACCCCCCCTACTTAAAATCTACCAGAAATTCTGGGATTCCGTCTTGTAGCTACCACATCAGGATTTTTCATACCGATCGTCACGACTGGCTAGTGGACTGTGAAATCAACCAGTGTTTTTCAATAGAATAGAGCAAAGCAGAGTCTGTGCTTATAGTTTAGACATAGGACGGACAGAGGTGTAGGTGAAGTCTGATTTTATGAAACTTTTCTTGCACAGCGCCATATGCATTGAATCATGATTAAGTGTATTTCTTACTATGGGTCAAAAACATTTGCAAAACCATGCACAACACAGTCCTGCCTTTGCTAAATCCTATGTACAGATGGGATGGATGATATTAGTATCAGCTCTTCGCCGGGACCCGTGCCAAGTGGTTTTACCTACTTTAGCTCTTGGACTCCTCACCACACCATTATGATTCCCAGGTGACAGATGGGAAGACTGAGGCTGAGATTAGACAAAGCTCATCCCTGAAGTCACAGGGCTGGGAAAGAGAAAAGCAGGGCTTGAGCCCCAGCCAGTCCCCACCCTCTTTTGCCTACCCACCTGCCCACTCGCCCACCCCCTCCCAATCTGCCTTGGTGTGCCAGCCTGTCCTCAAAGCCCCCAGGTGCAAGCTACCTCATAGATCCTCCAACACTGCAGCTGGCAAGACCATTTGAACTCCCATTTTGCAGGCTAGAAAACTAAGGCTGGAAAACATTTCCTAGAATCCACCATTCTACCACCCTTCTCCAAGCTCCTGTCTTTGAGAGGCAGGAGAGAGAAATGGCTAAGGACATGTCTTAGGGTTCAAATTTCATGCTTCAAAACTTTGTAGCTGTGTGTGATCCCAGTCCAGCTCTGTAAGCCTCAGTTACCTCTTCTGCAAAACAGGAATAATAATAGTACCGACCCCTCGGGCCATGCTTAAGATTTAAATAAGTTGGAATACAGTGCGATGGTCTTAACGTCAGTGGCCACACCCCTCTGCTGGGACTCTTCCCAGCGGCCCTGTATAATTGGGCTACTCTTTGCCTCCCGACTTTGTTGCAAAGAAGGGAAGGCCTTTTCCTGAGTTCATGCAGCTAGAAAGTGGGAGGGCGGGAATTTGGATGGATGCAGGTCGGCCTGGGCTTTTCACCACTGAGTCACAATAGTCCTTTGGGAAGTTAGTGCTTGACAGCAACAGCAGCAACATTTTCCAGATTAAGGAACGTAAGTCTCAGAGAGGATAAAGACATGCTGAAGTCACATAGCATGTAAATGGCAGAGTCAGGATTTGAACCCAGGCTTGTGTGTGTCCAAATGCAGGCTGACCTTTGTCCCATTAGCCCCTGCATGAAGCTCTGATGGGCAGGAAGGCAAACCGAGTAGAGGCCTGCCCTTGCCCCTGCCCGGCCTGGTGGTGTCCCTGGATCCGGCCCCTGCCCAGTCTCGGGTGGCTGCTCCCCTGAAGGCTCTAGGGTGGGAGTACCGGGGTGGCACGGATGATGGCAGAGAATGCAGCAGCCCCCTCCACCGGCCTCTGATTGGGGCCCTGCAATCCCCCAGGATTTGGTGCTTGGAAAGCTGACGTTGGGTTGCTATGGCAATGGGTTTGGGGTGGTTGCCATAGCAGCAGAACTAGCCTGGGTTTAAAAATATCTAGGAGGAGGTTTGTGTTTGTCTGTGAGTGTGAGTGCGTGACCGACCATGCTGTTGTGTGTGTCCAAACGAGGGGGGGCGTGTGAAGCTGGGGCTGCAGGCATGACTTGGCGGTGGGGGCCGAGCAGCATGCAGGACTCCACGCGTGTTGTGATGTCGCTGAGTAGCCTGTGAGGTCTCGTGTGTTGTGTGCGTTAGACTACATGGGCCATGTATGTCAATGTGTGTGACTGCCCAATCTGTGTGGAAGGCATGATTGAGTCTGTTTGGCTGTCTGTATCTCACACGTCACGAACATGTATGCCTTATGTAACATAGGTGTTTGTCTTGTGGCTGTGATCATGTACTGGTAACTTCTCAGGGTGTGTGTGGCCAAGTGTGGAGTTGTTTTGGCTCTGAGGATATGCATCTGGGATATACACGGATGTTAGAGGTGTGTGTGTCTATTTGTGTGCGTGAGCCCGTGGAGTGGCTTTGGCTCCACATGACTGAATGTACATTATGCATTATGGGTGTGTGTGTGTGTATGTGTGTGTGTGTGCGCGTGTGTGTGCGCGCCTATTCCCCCATGAGTCATCTTCATGCATCGAGTGTGCCTGTGTGAAACTGTTGAATGTGTACCTGTGTGTCTGCATGAGGCCCTGTGCGACTGGGGATGGGAGACTTTATGCCCATCTCCACAGATGTTGGGATGTGCACCTGTGTCGTGTGAGCATATGTGACTCAAAGGGTCTAAGGTGTGGATCTCTGCCTGACCCCAGTATCTCCCTGCATCCCTCTCGCCTCTTCCTCATCTCCATGGCAACCAGCTCCTCAGCTCCCTCCAGGAAGATGGAGGGGGAGGATCCAGACTGCAGTGGACCACAGCCCCCTACCATCCCCCTTGGCTCCAGGGACAATGAGGGGGGAGGGGACAGATGGGCAGCCACCCCATCCACCCCAGGCCATCTGCTACCCTGCCCATCCTAGGGACCTGGGAGCATGGCAAAGAAGGAGCTGCAATGGGATAGAGCAGAGGGACGGGCCCCTAGCTGCCACAATCACCCCCATCCAGGCCTCCTCTGAGCCTAATCTTGTCTCTAGAAGACCTGGGAGGGAAAGAACCCTTGGAGACCAGGAATCCAGAGAGAAGAAGATTCACGTATCAGAGAATATTGAATATTAGCAGTGATCAATTCCAAAGAAGGGCCCTCTTCTTCCAATGACTTCGGGCTCTGAAATTAAGCTTGTCCTGCGTTCAAACCCCAGCTTTCCCTCTGTCTGTCTGCGGGCCTTTGGACAAGCCACACTCCATGCTCCCAGGCCTCCACTGTGTCATCTGAAAATTAGGTTTTGCTAATGACATGAGTGGTAGTCCTTTTCAAGGGCCAAGACCATTTCGTTCCCTGTTGTATCCCAGTGTTTGGAACAGTCCCTGGAACATAGTAGGTGGCTCATAAGTGCTGTTGATTGAATTGAGCACCAGTTGGGCCCTAGGCTCAGCGCTACGTGCTTTAACTCAGGTGTTCATTGAATCAATCACCTGAGCCCTTGCAGTCATCCTGTGTTGATTCTTCTAAGGATGGATGCGAGATCTGAGGGTAAACGTCCCAGCTGTCAGGGGTGGGAGACATGTGACACGGGATTTCTCATCTCGACCAAGTGATGTCACATCTCTGAGGCTCAGTTTCCTCGTCTGTGAAATGGGGATGATAAGTACCTCACAGAGTTGGCGGCTCTGGGGATTAAATGTGGTGACGTTTGTGAAGCGCTTACTTAGAACTGGACCATAGTAAGTGCTCAATAAACGTTCATTACAGGTGAGGGGGT